CGCTGTGCGTTTTTTGTGGTGCTGCTAAAGGGTCCAGGGCGTGGGGAAACTGAAAGCTCCAGTGCATGCCGGTATACAGATTGAAAGGTCCGTTCAGCATGGTGGCAGTTGACGCCTTAGGCCCGTTCCCTCCGACTCCGAATGGGAACAAGTTTGTCCTGATATTCGTCGACTACTTCACATGCTGGTCGGAGGCATTTGCAGTTCCGGATTTGAAGTCGTCGACGTTCGTTCGTGTGTTCGTAGATGAGGTCTTGTGCTGATACGAGGTACCCGATCGGCTACTGTCGGATCGAGGTACCAACTTCGTGTCCCAGTTGGCCCACTCGATATACCAAACGTTGGGAATTGAGAAGTTGGCGAGCGCCCCAGGACATCCGCAGGGTCAAGGGCTGGTCGAGCGTTTCAACCACACATTGGCTACGATGCTGAAGATGTTTGTGAGCTCGGTACAAACAGATTGGGACGTGTACTTACAAGTACCTCGCCTTTTGTTCGCGTATCATACGGCTTACCAGTCGACGCTCGGTGACTCTCCGTTTTTCTGTTCGTTTGGACATGACCTGGTCCAGCCGTTGGACATCGTGTTTGGGAATCAGGACCCACCATGGAAGTCGGATGACCTTCATCAGTGGCGACGGAAGCAGTTTGCATGGTTCCAGAAAACACGACGGCTGGTGGAATCCCAATTGATACAAGGTCAGAACCGTTCGGCTACTGCGACGGACGAACTGAAGCAAGCGGATTTTCAACCTGCCGACTCTCTATGGTTGTATCAGTACTTTCGCAAGTTAACGGATGAGAACGACAAACGGATCAAGAGGCTCGCTTACCATTGGCGCGGTCCATACCGTATCCATTCTCGTCAAGGTGAGAATACGTTCCGTATTTACCTTCCATCTCACCCCGGACCTGGTGGTGCCCATCAACATGGACCGGCTGAAGAAATTCCAGGGGTACTGGTCTCGTGCGTATGATGACGACATACCAGAACGGTTGCTGCGCCGCACACCATCGGATGACAACTGGAGGCCAGCGTTCGACGAGGGCGATCCGAACGACGCGTTGCTCGCCTCTGAGTTTTTGCTGGAAAGCAGCATTGGTGGACGGGTCCAGTTCCCTGACGGAGACTTAGCGTACATGAATGTGGAATCCCCGATCTCAAAGGTCTCGGTAAAACGGAAACGTCCGAAGGGCGAGTCTGAGTACCTCGTGTAACATGCAGATGGCCTTTGTTATTGTACGCCACGTTCAAGATTGACCGAGTACGTCTCGTTTATTACGGAGTACGAGAATACGGTGCGAGCTGAAAAAGGTTTACCGTCCCTACGGCGTAGCCTTCGTCCGGCGGAAGTTGACACTGAACCGTCGGAAGTGTTCGAGTTTTAGTGGGACGCGCGTATGGATCGGTTTCCGGACAACCATGCTGCGAGTATTGTGTATTCATGTCTTTGAAAAAAACGGAAAGGGGATGGAGCCAGAAAGTGAAGAAAAGAAGTCTTTTCGACGCGAGCTGCTCACTCGTCCGTGTCGTGAAGTTCGGCGTCGATTTTGCGTGTCCAATTGGTCCGACAGGGCGTCGTTTTCGCTGTAGTCGGGATC